CTGTGAAGACAGGCAGAAGGTTACTGCCATTGTGTAGGGTAACTTATTTATTATTTTGTCTTTTTTTTTTTGTTGTTTTTTGGGGGGGTTGTACAAATTTTCAGGAGCAGCAGCAGAGTCGTCAGTCCCAGCTGACTCAGGATGAGCGGGTGTCCCGCTCCTATCTGGCCCTGGCTACCGAAACAGTTGAAATGTTCCACATCCTCACCAAGCAGGTCCAGAAGCCTTTCCTAAGGCCTGTGAGTGTCACTGTTACCAATGAACACTTGATGTATTCTTGAGATTTATTCTCAGTTATACAAGTAATATAAAGGAAGCACTATTTCCTCCAGGCATAGCATAGAATAGGTACGTTGTCATTCAAACATACACCAGTTAGTGCACGTTAGAACAAAATGTCGGTCCATTGACTCGACATTGGACTAATGTATGCATCCATCCACCCATCCATGCATCCATCCATCTTCCCTTTTCCACAGCAATAAAACAGCAAAAAACAATGTATATCATTATTCCAGACATAATGCACTGCCATGAATATACAGTAATGTGAAACAGTCCAGGGACAGTTTCAGAATGTACCTTGTTTATGTATAAGAGGGGTGTGGGGGTTATGGAGAGTTCAACAGTCTGTCTTGGGCAATGAAACTATTGGAGAATGTGCTTTTCTAAACAGTGGCTTCTTCTTCACACAGGAGCTGGGGCCTCGTTTAGCTGCCATGCTGAACTTTAACCTCCAGCAGCTGTGCGGGCCCAAATGTCGGGACCTGAAGGTGGAGAACCCAGAGAAGTATGGCTTTGAGCCCAAGAAACTCCTAGACCAGCTGACAGACATCTACCTGCAGCTAGACTGTGCTCGCTTTGCTAAAGCTATAGCAGATGACCAGGTTGGCACTGACGGGAGAGGGGGGGAAATTTGATGTCCGGTCTACATTTAGTTATCCTGAATCATCTGTCGTGACTTTATTGCCGTGCCAGTTAGCATGAATTCTCTACTTCACGTGGAGAATATAGTGTGTATATATATATATAATTCCTGATTTGTTGAGAGAACAAAGAGAACATTATGAATGATGAAGCCACATTATTGCACATTATTGTTGTCAGAGATTTACATCAGAACATATATGTATGAAACGCAGCAGTTTCTTGTTGTGTGCATTATCAAAATCTGTGTAAGTTTGAAGACATGACTTAAATTTCAAATCTGTGATGTGATGACAGTAAGGTACTGAAGACTGACCTCAGGGACTTGTTGCTCTTTGCAGAGGTCATACAGCCGTGAACTCTTTGAGGAGGTGATCTCAAAGATGAGGAAGGCTGGCATTAAGTCCTCAATTGCTATTGAGAAATTCAAGCTGCTATCGGAGAAGGTGGAGGAAATAGTCGCGAAGAACTCCCAGTCTGAAATGGACTACAGTGATGCACCGGATGAGTTCAAAGGTGTGTGAAAGACTGTTTAAACAGCATAACTAGAACTTTTGAATCTGGTTATGCAGCAATAGTAAAGCGAATCATCTTTCCCACAGCTGGTTTAATAACATCTCACTCTGATATGTGCTGTATCGTTAAATTAATCTATCTAGATCACTTCAGAGTAATGTATTGAGATCCTCAAATAACATCCATATAAAAATAATGGGTCACATTGCGCTGCTTCTGAAAGCATCATATTAAATATCTTTCTAGGTCTTCAAATGCAGTTTTTAAATAATATTGTCATTGTGTAAAAGACTGACCTGTGACCTCGGGTCAGTCAATGACAGACGGGATCTTTAACGGCCTCTTCTGCTATTGAATTCCAGACATGTGTGGTGGATTTTGAAGCTCACACTGGTCATCTAGACAGCTTAGTGCAAGGCTATCGAGTAACCACAGACTTAATATAATCTAGAAAGAGTATGTGGTCTGCGTGCCTCCTTTGATTCTCAGATATGCCAGCTAGCCCACCACAGTTGATGGGAGTGTGCCATACAGGAGACTTGAGTATCAGCTGTCTGTGTAGATGAAATCTCCCATGACAGGTTTTATTTTTGTAGCACCGGAGTCCTACTGTAATAACCTTGTGACATTTCAACACAGAGCCCCACGCCACCAAACGCTCTGTATCGGACTTCATGGGAAATTTTGTTTACTAGTGTTTTGATAGGTGCATCAATATTGTGGTCATATAAAACATTTTTTGGACATGTGACAGGCTCCTACACAAACCAACATGGGCACACATGTATGTCACTTGCTGATTACATTTATTTATTTATTGTTTTTACACTTAAACAAAGAAGTTTAATTTTAATATTTTTGCTTTTAATGTTGTAATACTGGTCCCTCTCCTTGTCCAATCAGGGCGCCAGTGCTGCTGGTGATGAATCAGATTTTTAGTGTAGCATCTCGCTTGTAATTTTCTGTAAAATCTGTTTGTGACTGTGTTACAACAGACCCTCTGATGGACACGCTGATGACCGACCCTGTGATGCTGCCTTCGGGGAACATCATGGACAGATCCATCATCTTACGCCACCTGCTCAACTCCCCCACTGATCCCTTCAACAGGCAGCCACTCACAGAGAACATGCTGGAGTCAGGTAACCCCACCATTTATCCTTTTACTTTATTTATTTTAAACAGATAATGTAAATAAGTGTTGCTGTTTAAGGTACGCAAGATAATGCACTTATAGCTGGAGGCGAGGCTAATAATTTCAGGATGCCTAAATGTCACAATGTTAATTCCACAGTGCCTGAACTGAAGGAGAGGATCCACACCTGGATGAGGGAGAAACAGGGTGGACGGGGTGTCTAAGGACTACGTCACTGATGTCTGGCTAATCATCATTAAGGGATCGGTCCAAATCACCTGAATTCAGCATCACTACTACCAATGAGAACAAAAAAAACAAACATTTTGAATGGAGAGGAAAAAAAGGAGACTTGATTTGATAATTTTTTTTCTTTTATTTCTTTTTTTTTTTCTTTTTTTTTTTTTTGCATTTACCCTTTTTGTCTCAAACCATTATCATGGTTCTAAAACAAAACATAATAAAGCTAAGACTTTTAAGTTTTTCTCATGAGTTTGTGTATATATATATATACATATATATATAAAAAATATATATATCAAAGTATATACATTAATTTAACAATAGTGCATTATAACGCTGCAGAAACCATTACCAACAGGTTTACCTGCGAGGTGCATACAGTCTCTTCATTGATCACCTTCCTTTATGGTTCTCATTTTGTTTGGTATTACTGAGTCTAGTTGGGTTCTGATAAAACTGTTAGCCTCAAGTTTTCTTTATCAAGACTTGTGACGGTAATGAGTTTGAGTCCACGTAATGTTTAATGGTGTCCCAGAGATAACTTATGCACAGTTTGTGCTTGTAGAAGAGGTTCAGGATTGGGAATACCCTAAACTAATCCTCAGTGTCAGCTTTTGTTTTGAGTAAAGTAGGAAGATGAGCTGTGGCTCACAATGATAAAGTGTGCCCAAATTTTCCTTCTCGGTCACGTTTTCCCCGCTGACTTTGATAGATTGAATTTACGTGTGTGTGTGTGTGTGTGTGTGTGTGTGTGTGTGTGTGCACGGCCTTAAGTCAAGAACCTCCTGAGCGCCACGTGGACATGTAATCCCCATTTTAGGTCTAGTGGAAGGACCGTGAGAATGTAGCATGATCACCTGAAGCACCATCCTAGGAGCACACCATTAAGTCATCTCACCTTAAAATGGTCTCTTTTAAATAGCACTGTACCTAACTTGACCTTGCTGACCTTAACTGTACAGGAAATTATTTCCTTTAACCACATACCTGTTTTCGAAGCTAGGATTTTGAACTCGAATAAATGATGATGCACATTATTTCACAACTGGTCACCATTTTTTTCCCCCTTCAGACTGATGTCTTAGTGGCTTTGTTTAGTATCTTTTTTTTTAAATTTAAGTTTAGTGTAAGTAAAGAAAACAAAGACGCCCATGACAAGATACAAAATAACAGATCAGTTGCATTTTATTTATACAGTGCCAAATTAAAACTGTTGCCTCAAGAAGCTTTATATTATAAGGTGAAGACCAGGAGGAGGCAGGACAAACGACACATTGAAACAGAGAGAGAAAAACAACTATATAAATAGCAAAAAAAAAAAGAAGCTGGATGGGGCAAATATAATGCAAACCTGTTTTCATTTTGTGTCAGCAAAGGTAACTTCCAGTTCTAGGGAACATAAAAGTTGCAATCTTTTTTTGGAATGTGAATAGGTTAGTCATTGTTCTCAATTAAACTTGGCAACAGTCCAGTATTTACTGGCAAGGACACCTGTTAAACTTTTGACTCCGAGTTCATTCCAAAAAGAAACCGCAACTGCAAAAATATCACAGGAAAGTGAATTGCTTTGAATCAAACCTGCCTCTTAATGGTTCTTGCCAGAGGTTCCCTCCTGTTAAAAGGAAGTTTTTCCTTCCCCTTGTCTCCATGTGCTTGCTCAAAGGGGTTGTCTGATTGTTGAGTTTTATTCTGTATTATTGTATGGTCTTTACAATAAAAAAAAAAAAGCGCCTTGAGGCAACTGCCGTAGTCATTTGGCGCTAAATGAGTAAAATTTAATTGAACTGGTTATATTCAAACACAGCAGGAAATGTATTTGCTCATTTTATTTTGTTTTATGGTCAGTGACATCTCTTGTGCCTGCTTTAAGGCAATATTATAATTATAATAATTATATTAGCAAAAATATAAATAATTTGGTTTATAAATTCGTGATGCACGGAAAAGTTACGTCGCTAGGCGGCGATCTTTGCGGTAACCCACGGTGCTGCGGGTAGCAGTAATGAGAAATCCTGCAGTGTGGCGTCACGGGCGAAAAAAAGGGAGCGACACCCCACCTATTCCCTCCCCCTTCGCGACCCCGAGTCACGCCATAGGCTCTTCGCCGCATTAGTCGCCGCTCTCTGTTTGCTCATTGGCCCGCCAGCCTGTCCGTGAGCGCGCTGAGAGGGAGTTGACGTAATCTCTTCGGTAAATCGAGACAATCTACCAATTCTTCTTCTCGCTAGTGTGCAGATAGGCGTCCGCCGTTCATCTGTAAGGGAGACTAAAGTAGTCAACGAAGTGGCCGTTTCCAAATACAAATCCTTCCACCGGAGGATACCGCTATAATGGGTGTTTTTCACGGAAATGGACTTTATAGCAGTTTCCTTGCGCACAGATTCTGATAGAAACAACACATTTTGACGCCTGCTAGCTAGCGTTAGTTCTCGCCACTGTCCGGTGGTTTTGGTTTTGTCTTTTGCAAGAGTCTCCAAGCGTAAGTATATATTTTTAAAAATAATATATTTATATTTTGGGGGACTGTTGTGCACTGGGTTGTTATTACAGTTTAGTTTCAACGATGGATAGGGAGCAGTTGTCTGTGTCAACTAATACATGTCCGGTGGTCAGTGGACCTCTACGTGGCCATGGTTGCGATAACACAAAAGAATTAAACATATATATGTACTTAATTGTTACAGTATATAGAATAATTTGTTTATAGGTTTAGTTGATTATAGTTGGATAGCTGTTTCCGTTAGACTGTAGGTCGTAAATATTGAAGTCGGAGCCAATAACATTTAACGGGTTAAAGCTAGCTTAAAATAGAAAATATAATTGCTACTGTTGAAAGCTTCGCCTCTGGTAGGATTTAACGTCAAAACGCCTTTAACCCTGCCGGATAGGGTAAATGTGAACAATGTATCCAGTCTGGGCTGCTAAAATAAGCATGCAACTCCTCCCTTGCACTATTCCCCAACATGCAGCGGCGGAGGATTAGCCTACTTCCTAATATCAGCGAATGTGATTTTTTTTAAAAGGGGGAAATTTAAGCTCTTCGTCTGCACAAAACGAACAGTGTCAGATGCAACAGACAGGCCCTCGGTTAGCTGTCCCGCTGTAGCTCTCGCCAAATAGGGGAGATAGGATTTCATGGGCGTATGCTTCGGCAAGTATGGCTGACTGCAAGTACATGGAAAAACATAGGATATTTAGGCTGTGTAGTCACCGGGTGCGGACTGTAAAAACGATGGAAAGTTGTGTGGTATTTTAACGCCACGTTATTTTATCCATGCAACAATCGTGATTTGTGATCTTCGTATTTTGTTTTCGGCTAAAGCGCATTTCACGTAAACGGTGGGTTTATGATATAAATATAAAGGCTTACATCCTCTGTTTGATTTGCTAAATGTATGATCGGCTGCTGTTTACAAAATATTAAAGGCTTCATCGGGTTTGGTCGGCCATATTTGTTGTAGGCTGTTATGACTGAAAATTGGGAGGGGGTGGACTTTCATTGTGTTTGATTTACATTTAGTGAAAACAGGCTCTGCTCCTTTTCACTATAGCACTTTTGTTTTATTTTTAAAGAAGGAAGCAAACATTGTCTTGCTTACCTGCATCACTTATTGTTTTAACTGATGAGATGCACACTTGTTTTTCTGTTTCCTTTAGGAGGGATATACACAAGGGATCTTACAGGGAGACTGACTTAAACTGCAAACATGTCTGGGGCTTCTGTGAAAGTCGCTGTTCGAGTTCGACCCTTCAACTCGAGGGAGATCAGCAAGGAGTCAAAATGTATCATTCAGATGCAAGGCAACACTACAAGTAAGTGGCCTACTGGCACGCATGCAAGACCACCAACACAAACTGGAGGGAAAAAAAGCATCTTGATTTTATGCAGGTCCAGTCTGCAGGAACACTTCGGTGTACCATGCATGCTCCTGCATGTTCTTCCTTTAGGCGTCTTAGCAGAGAACAGTAGAATGAGCAAACTGAATAGTGGACGGTTGGGGACGAGCAGCCTGAAAGAGAATAAAAGGCTTACAGAGTGAAATTCCTCCTCCTCTGGAGGGGTGTGCATGCCAGAGGAGATTCTGTGTGAGAAACGCTTAGTTGGTTCACGCTGGGAGACCCAGGGGTCGTCCCACAGCGTGGCCTGCCAGCACCCCCAGTTCAGCTAGGGTTTATCACACGGCCACTGTTTTTCTTTAATGGATGTGTGTGCTGCTTTATAGTTTATGGTTGCCTTATCTCTTGAGTGTACACAAACAATTTGTGAACAGGTTGTTGGATGCATATAAAACACGATTGGCAGTTAATTATTTACAAGATTTGCATCCCTATTTGAACCACAGTGATTGAGATAGAGATCCAATGTGTATATGTGTCGTTCTGGCTGCTGTTACAACCAGATTTCCGCTTGTGGGACAATTAAAGGATTATTCTATTCTATTCTATTCAAAGTCTGACAGGTTAAGTAAAAATATACATATTTATAACTTTTCTCATGTTGCACTAATCCGTGATTGAGGCATAGGGAAGGATGTTAAGACCATCTAAGATTTATTATGTGATAGTGCCCTTATTTACTGTAAAGCATGCTTGTCGACAGTGTTATATGATAAGCAATAGCAGAGCAAGAAGAGAAAACCTGAACGTGGTTTGCAGTCATGTGATTCAACCTGCTTACTTGTGAGTCATCCGTTACTGTGAAGCACTAGCTGCCTCCTTACTCATGACTCTGTCGTGTGTGCTTCATTCCAGCTGAGCACAAGCTCCACGACGTTAGCGTGGAAGCATTTATTAACCCGCAGTAACGAGACAGCATGTGGAAACAGAAACATGCTCTACCAGCAGGCTCTCGAGTTTTGTCTGTCAGTCTTATATCACCCTCATTAGACTAAGCTTATATGAATCTTCCATAAGATCAAGTGTCCCTACCAGTTATGGCTCACTTGTCCTTTATCTCTCACACTCTACCAAAGAGAAGCTTTGTGTCAAATCCCTAGTAGTTTTACTCTATATCCTTGGGTTTTCATTATGCCAATGTCACCCGAAGGAGCTGGAGGGTGACTCGTGGTTTGTAGCAGAGCTGCAGTGGAATATGCAGCGTTTTGTAGGGGGGTTAGTCAGTGAGTGTGTGTGTGTGAGCGAGCGAGGGAGAGGAGTAGGCTGCGGTACTGCCTACTCTGCCTCCTTTCACATGGGCAGATTGCAGAGCAGAAAGGGAGGCTGGCAGGCGGCCATACTCTCCCTTCGTCAGGACTTCATTGCAGATGGTATGCTGAGAATGAGCTGTCTTATTTGGATGCCGAGAGGCCGAATCTTACCTGATGGCTCAGACACGCACAGGATCATACTGAGACTTTTTTTGTTGTGGTCGTTGTATTCCCCCAGACTTTCTAAAAGCCATTGTGCATTTTTACTCTAACAAAATGAAATAGACACAGCATTGCCATTTGAACAGTATTTTAATAATCAAGATTTTTATGGTATGTTTTTAACCAGATAAATAGATACAATTAGTCACATGAGTGTTACATTTACCAAGGAGTTTTTATTTGTCATCCTAGTGTTTTCTTTCTAAGTGATATGTTCAGCATCCATCTGTGTAAATGTCTAATTTTGCATCATTGAAAAACAAAAATCTAAACATGACTCATCCCACGTTTACCCAAGTTGTTTGACACCCAAACAGCTTTGGGTATCAAAAACCCAACAACGTAGCCTTTCCAGAAGGCGTGGAAGGTGGCTACGAAACAGTTGGTGTCTGACGTGGTGAAACAACAGCATCTAGAGAAACTTCTAAAATCCATGCTACTGGAAATTCCCTTAAAAAAAATCTCTGGTCAGTATGTTATGTTTTTGCCTGTGTAGGATAAGCTGTGATGTAGCACTAGCCAGTCAGTGTGTGCGCGCAGTATGGGTGTACTTCTAATGTTTTCACTGGTCTTTGCTTGCATTTAAATTGGGCTGAAGGCTGCCTGATGGAAATGGGATGTTGCGTGGTCAGCTTGTATGTGTTTGGCAGATGTGTGCGTTATGCCATGACACTCCCCTTATTGTTGTGACTGGCTCAAGGGCATATGTGCCCGCCTGTGTGCATGTGTCAACAGTACAGAGAAAGATGGCGGTAGGGGGCAAGAACTCGGTCTCTTTCTCGCTCTTTCCCCTTTTCACCATGCAGAGAGGGTTGTCAAGGATAGGATGAGAGCAAAGGAGCAGCAAATTGATTATCCAGTGTGCAGGAAATGTGTCCAAGGCCTCTGCAGAGAGACAGAAACAAAGCAAAGGCCTCATTCAGGAGACGCTCTCAGACATACCAGAGCTAATGTAATTATAAAACAGTGACGCGATGGCCCGCTAATTTTGTGTTGGTACTCCAAATGTTGAATAACTCCAGTACACCCAAACTCCGCCTTAATCTGGGGCCTGATGTGTTCTTCACTTCAGTTTCCATCTTGTTATGCAACTCATGTGTTATGTGCCCCTTGAGCCAGGGAGGAGCCACTCACGATGTATAGCCAGAGATGATCAATAGAGCTTACAAAGCACACAGAGATGTTATGATGAAGCATTTTGTCAACTGATTGCAAACCTGCAGTCTAGTCTAGTCGCTGTCTGGTGTTCAAAATAGTGTTTCTAATGCTTTATCAGTAGTCTACACTAGCCACATTTTCAAGAACGGGATGTTAGACGATATTATCACTTAAGCTAAGAGTAAACAAAATGACCAATTGAAAGCACAAACAGAAGGTCACCACATCAATTAAACCTTCACCTTTCAGATACAATTCACCCAAGTGTGCTCTCACTATGAGGTAAGTGGATGCTGACCTTACCCTGCAGGGAAGAACGAGCTCAGCTCCAGTGTCAGTTACACATAAGAGGAGGCTCTCATCACAGCAGAAATAACAATTAACCATTTTCACGTCAATGAAATGCAGTTATTGGTGGGACATGCAGCAAGGAAGGTGGGTTTGGATGTGGGGCAGTCATACTTTCGCTGAACCCTGTGCAGACAGGGCTGATTGACCCGATTAAGACCAGTAATCCTTTGGCTTGCCTCAGATCACCACGCCCAGAAGCCGTAATCCTTGTGACCCTTGCAGGTGTATACATACCGACATGCACCCGCTCTAGGGTGTTACATTCCTCATCACTCAGATAGTTCTAGAGCCAAACATTCACAAATGTACAGAGCAAACTTTTACATTCAAACATGACCTCCTAATAAGGAGGAAGGACAGGCAGCCTGTGTTTACTGTGTCACGGGACTGTCAGCTGAGAGGCACAAATGCATGTCATGCAGCTCACCCAGTTTTTAGCTGAACTACTGGTAGCAGGTGTCTTACAGAAAGTCACACAGTTAGTGTATCGACGAGTGTGTTAAACTAGCTGTTGAAGCTGGGGAGACTGTGTGCTAATATTGTTATTGTTACGTCTTAACTCACATTTAACATTGCACCTGGTATTTTTGAACAGCGTACAAGCGCTCTGTTCTTGGGATGGGTATCGTTTAGGTTTTATCTGATATCAGTACCAAACCGGTACTTTTGAAATGGTGCCGGTGCTTAAACGGTGCTTAAACGGTGCTCGAACCGGTGCTTAAAGAATGGAGAACACAAAATTGGTCCAAAAACCTCTCATGTTCAGCTGTTTTTTGTTTTTGTTTTTTTGTAAAAAGATAACAATGTTAGCCTTTTCTGCAGCTATAGGGGATTAATGGTATCACTCTTGGCTGGAAGCAGTGCTTAAACAATGGAAAAAAACCACAAACTTTGTCCAAAAACCTCTCATGTTTAACATTTTTCCACTTTTTCTTTGGTCATTTTAGCCTTTTTGGCCAGGGTGACGGGAGTATCTGCCATCAAACAAGAGGACAGCCGCATGTAACTACGACGGTGTTTGCTAGTTCACCTTACATGCATTAATGTAATAACGCGGTTAGCGTACTCAACGTAAATTACACACAAACAACATTAAGCTACTCACGCAGAGAAGAACGGCTGCTGCTGCATCATCATCCGTCATCATTTCTGCTACACTGGCAGGGCTAGGGGCCAGGACTCTACTCTTCGGGTTTTTGGGGGATGTTGCTAACTCCGGGTCCGATAACAGGCACCACACCCGCAGTAGATGTGCACGGTGGGAGGTCTCGCAGCAAGCTATCAAATACGGTGCATTTCTCGGCTTTTAACAAAATGCTATACGTCGTCAGATTCGAGGTGTTACCTCCTTTGCACAGTACCACCTTAAAGCACTTGTTGCTGCTGAGTTTGCATCTTTTGCTGTGAAGTACAGGCAGACTTTGACCGCCTCGCCTTGGGCATTTTTAATCTGTTGCTCTGCTCTAAAAGAACCTACGTACCTGGGCCCGCCTACTATCCTTGGAAACGTAAAATGATTGGCTAGAATATAAAGTGTATGACATCTCAGGAAAAAAAAGCACCGAAATAAAGCACCGAAATGTGCGCTGCTTTTCGGTCTGGTTACTACCGTTTATGTCAGAACCGGTACCCATCCCTGCTCTGCTCACCCTTACCTGTCCATAAACATATTTAAATTTGTAAGCAAGACACCGACTTTTCATGGAGCATTATTGCTAAGTGCACACTATCTGCCTAGCTAGTGTGTGTAAATAATCGTACTAATACTTGGAATACTCTGTCTAGAAAGATGTTATACAAGTACTTTTTTTTTTTTTTTTTTTAACAAAAAGCAACATGTACCTAGGGCTGGGCGATATGGCCTAAAATCAATATCACGATAAATTGAGCAGTTAACCTCGATAACGATAAATGGACGATAACCACCCCAAGTGC